GGGTTTAACTGTCTAAATGGAGTCCATCGACTCCTGCTCAGTTTGAAGGCACCACAGTCAGTGCCCAGTAAGGACAAATGGAGGGCCCATATGTGCAACTGCATCAGAGGCTGACAGCTCCCGTCTGCCATGGGTCATGGGATGCTGTGGACCAAACAGAAGCTCAGACCTGTGCCTGCCGTTTCTCCTTTGCCTAGCTCAGTCTCCCCAAACCCTGGCTACTCTTTCCTTGATGACTTATTGCCTCTTGAGGTATCATGTACGAATCTCTTCTATCACTTTTGAAATATGACTAATCTGCATTCTAGATGTGGCTTGCTAAATGGTTTGAATAACGCTTATCATTTACTGAGCACTTACTATTGGTCACAACAACTCAATGAAGTGGGTGCTATTATTTATACCTGTTTCACAGAGGAGGAAACTGGGGCTGAGAGAAGGGAATGATTTGCCCAAGGTGATAGCAAGGGTGCAGCTGGAAAATGCAGAGCCAGACTTGAAACTAAGATCTGTTGGGTGGGGAATACCACTTAAACGTACTGCTTCCCACAAGTTTAAAGGCAATCCGACACTTCCTAGGCACCTACTAGGCCCCTGGCACAGAGTGTAATTATTTAATAACTCACCTGATTACAGACTTTAAGAACGAATTTACATTTCCTGGCCCAAAGAATAGGTAACATTAATACAGTTGATCCCTTTGGCAGCAGTTCCAAATAAAGATATTAATAAGAGCTGCCCACTGGGCTTAAAGTAGAAATGCTCACACCCCAACGGAACTTTAGCTGACACATTTAGACACCTCCCATTCACCCCTGCCTGGTCACCCACTCATCAATCATCTGCCAACGGGTTATCTTCTCCTTAGAAAGAAGTCTCTTTCTCACTCCCTCCTATCACCTTCTAGATCAACAAAGCCATCCCCCTCCTCTCCTTCTCCTTCGAAAGTGAATATTCTGGAATATCCTAACTCTGGGAGCACCTTAGGCAAATTCAGCACATCTAAGATAGTTCAGCCCGTCTCATTCCCCCCAGAATATTCCCTGTCAACAGAGGCAGGAATTAGCACACACTTTAGCCTTTTTATTGTCTAACACAGAAGATGGCCTTTCTTTTTCATACTAAGTGCGGCTTCTCAGCTGCCCCTTATGGTCTATGTGCAGAGTCCCTTAGGTATGCTATTCAGAGGCAAACCTAATTTGTAGAAATTGTTCTCCAAAATCCAGGAATAAACTCCCAGCTATTTTCAGACAAAGATAGAGGTAGGAGTCTGTAGAAATGAGCTAGGAAGGAGCTTAAAATACTTCACATTCCAGAAACACCCTCCCTTCCCCCCAGGAGATGGCTTTATTCCCACTCCTTTCTCAGCAGAGTTAGACTCAAAAGAGCTGAAGTTTGGAGTCAGGCAGCTGGCGCTAGCTGTGTGGGCTCAGACAAATGATTTCAATGTCTTGAACCTTCAGTTTGTTCATCTGTGAAATGGAACTGACGCCACCCTGTTCTCCCAGTTATTGTGAGAATTAAGATATGTAAAACAGCAAGCATTAGTACCTGGACCTAGGGGTCCCTGCTGTTTTATAGTGGGCCCATGAATTCTTTCAAGGCCTAGGAAAGGGAGAGAAATCCTACAAATTAGTCTCTTGACAAATGGCATCAAAAAAGAAGGATGAATATACTGGGAGCAGAGTGACAAGAACTGAAAGAGACAAAAAGTGAAGTTTTAAGAAAAGAGTCCCGACAATGCAAGTCTATGTTTATCACACTGCTACATACAAACTAGGTTCTGTAGTTTAGAGGCAGTGGGGGTTGAGTGGAAAGTTTACCTGACAGGAGATTGGGTTTGGGATTCTGATTTTGTTATGTGACCTTGAGCAAGAAACCGCCCTGGGCTCCAGTACTATGTGGCAGAGGCTGCGTACTTGTGTTGAGGGTCACTTTGTAAATGTGAGGAATTTATAGGAATTTTTGGACTCTACTCAGGCTCCAAAGGAGAGAGGGAGAGCAGGCGGGCAATAGCAGCCAGCTCTCAGCTGTAAAGGATTAGCCGAGGCAAAGTGGCCTTCTTCTACCATGATACGGCCTTTCTGAACAGCAACTGTTTGCCCTTCACAGTCCCAGAAGGGGCCTCTTTGGGGCAAGACTAACCCTCCCCCCGCCCCCCCCCAGCCCACAAATGCGGCCGAGTGACTGGTCACGGAACATTTGCTCCACTCCGTCCCAATAAGTGGCAGGCGCAATGGCCTCACGGAGAGACAATTCCAACAAGCAGTTAAGTGATGGAATTCCATGCTTACCTCCTCCACACACGCCATGCTAACAAAACCAGCTGTCCTTATGATGTAGTGGCTGAGACCTCTGGCTGTGGAGATGGGCAAAAGCGAGCTTAGATCACAACGCACAGACTTCCTGGCCGAGTAACTGAGTAACTTTGGGCTGTTTTGTTTTGCTCTTAGAACCTCAGGATGGCTCGGTCGGTTGAATGTCTGACTTTGGCTCAGGTCATGGTCTCATGGTTCATGAGTTCGAGCCCTGTTATCACACTGGCTGCCATCAGCACAGAGCCTGCTTCGGGTCCTCTGTCCCCCCCGCCCCCCCAGCTCTGCCTCGCCCCTCCCTTGTTTACACTGTAGCTCTCAAAAATGAATAACTATTTATTAAGGGAACAAAAAAGAACCTCAGTTTCCTCTTTCATAGCCCTGGCGCACAGTTGGTCGTGGTGTAACATGAAAGAGGGGGCAGAGTGCTTTGACATAGGCAGTGTTCTATCAGGAACAGCTGTTATTCAATTCTCCCCTTCTGCACGTAGGGCAAGTTTAGAAAGACTATGGGAGGGAAGAGGAGCCTTCATTTGCTTTCATTAATTGAGGGAGAAAGAAAAAAAGTTGTATCACATCACAAAATCTTAGAGAAGTTTTAAGATATCCTGCATGGTCATCATACCACCAAGGTAAGAACCCGGTACCACCCTAAATAATATAAGGCTTCACACTTAAGAAAAGGGTTTAGGGGCGCCTGGGTGGCTCAGTTGGTTAAGCATCTGACTTCAGCTCAGGGCATGATCTCATGTTTGTGGGTTCAAGCCCCGCATCAGGTTCTGTGCTGACAGCTCGGAGCCTGGAGCCTGCTTTAGATTCTGTGTCTCCTCCTCTCTCTGCCCCTTTCCGACTTGTGCTCTGTCTCTCAAAAATAAATAAATGTAAAAAAAAATTTTTTTTAAGAAAAGGGTTTAAAGTCTACTACTTCATTAATATCTGTCAGCCCCCTGGGCAGGGGCATTTATCCCCATTTTACAGAAAAGGAAACTAGGGGTCAGAAAGGTAAAGCTAGAAGTCACAGAACAAGTGGTGGAGTTGGGATTTCAAACCTTCTAAAGTTCAAATTCAGCCCTCTTTGCAATTCACAAGAGAATGCCACGTTCACTGAGTACACCACGGACTGAACCTACATTGTTTAGGCATGTCTGAAATGGCATTTCAGGAACCCAAACTGGAATGGCCTGGTTAGCAACATGGTTAGAGAAATGCAGCCCTCTGGATCGCTGACAGTTACCCTGAACTCGTCTTCCTTGGCTCAGGGGGACTTGGTTGGCATAAGGTGCCCCCACTCTGACATGTTTGAGAAATCTTTTATTAGCAGAAGTCTCAGAAGGCAACGTTTTAAAATCAGGCAATCGATAACCACAACTAAATACAAAATTTCAGGTAAATTTGCCTTTCAAAATAAATCAGACTCTTGCAACAGGAGAATTGCCCAAGAGGTTTTTTTTCTTCTTGTACAAAACAATTAACACCACTTTGCAAAAGGCATACAAAAATACAGTATTAAAAAAAAAAACCAATAAAACAAACCACTGCTCCCAGCCTAATACCCAACAGCAGCTTATAAAACACAAGCTATTCAGGTGATACATCGGTAACCTACATCCCACCTGTTCTCCAAAGACAGTTCCAGAAGTCAGCTGGCTCCCAAAAACCATACTCCAGAAGGTAGAGAGGTTTTTCCTCCCCCAAATTTCCACTGGGTTCTCTGAGGCCAGAAAACAACCTCGGAAACAGACCACTGTGCATAATAAGTTTGGAAGTAGCAGCTGGCTTTCCCAGAGCCACAGAGAGTGCTCTACCCACCCCATCTCCACCGCCACCCCCCACCCCCTTTCAAAACCACAGCCAGTAGGCACCTGCTGCCCTGGGCAGAGTTCTGGAGGGGCTGATCTTTCTTCTAGGCCAGGCTTTGGGGCTCCTGAGTTTGCCCACATGACACCTGTTGGGTTAGATGTCTTTCCAGACTGGAGGCTGCATCTGGAGTCCACTTGGAGGTACCAAGTTCACCTGGGGCAAAATCCATCATGGTCAGCTAAGTAAGAGCTCCTGGAAACTCCTTTAAAACCCAGCAGGAAACTAGTCCGCCTTCTGGAGCATTAGATGAATCCCAGCAGCTCTCCCGGCAAGAACTGCAGTAAGGCCCAGACTCTGGGAAAGAGATGGGACTCATGTCAGGATTTGTGACAGGCCGGCGAGGGGCCCAAGGGTGGCTGCAGAGCTGGCAAGCTCTTTGGGAGTTGCACTAGGATAGTTCGCAGGGTTCTGGTAGAACTTCAAACATACCAGTCAGGGATCGAGAGCAGAGGGAAGTAGGAAAGAGGAAGTGGTACAGTTCTCCCTCCGGATGTGCCTGACATCTGCCTTGAGAAAAGATTCCAGGATGGAAAACACCTGGGCAGATCTCAAGTTCATGGCCGGCACTACAAGCCTTCCCCGGGCCTCAGGCTTAGGACCCATTTCCCAGTGTCTTAGGGAAATATTTCTGACCTGTGGGCAAGGGGTGCAGGAGAGCCTGTTGCATAACAAAGGCAGAAGGAAACAAAAAAGTCCCTTGTGAGGACAGAATGGTTTCTCATCAGAGGAAAGGGCCCAGAGGGCTTTGAGACAAAGAATCTAGAGGCCAAGCTCTTTAAATGTTCTCAAGGTCGCAGCATTTAGAGTGGGAGGAGGGGTGTCAGCTATCATCATAATATATATATATTAAAGGTTTCCAACTCCTCAGCTACTGTAAAGTGTCTGACAGTGAGGTAATGGTCCATGTTGATCAAGTCTGTGAGCTTGTCTTCACCCAAGACAGCTCGTGTGTCTCCTGGAAAGAAAAGCCTCGGGGAGAGCATCCGGGCCCAGCTGTCTAGCATCGCCCCAGAGACAGTGGGAGCATCCTTTCCCAGCCTAAAGCTCATCCGGAGTGGGAGATTTCAAGCAGGCTGGAGCCCCCCACCCCCCACAACGTCCACCACCTGTTGCATAGCATCTGTCAGGCTTTCCTTCCGAGCTAGTGAGCTAGGCACCCCAGGCTCCCCAGTCAGCTGCCTGCCTGAGAAGCCAAAGGCGCCAGAGAAGGCCCAGTGCTCCCCAGAGTCAGGGAAGAGGGAGAGCTGGGTTTCCAGGTTTCCAAGAATGCAAGCCCTTAGGAGTGTGTGCACCGGCTGCTCTGCATTCTGGAATCTACTGTTCAGACTGTCCCGCCATAACCAAAATGTGCAAATTACTAAGGGGGAGGGGGCAGGTTAAAAAATAAACTCGGGTCTTTGTGAGACAGAGCAGTCAGGCTTTTTGGTCACTTAGTAGCCACTGAGGTACGCAATTCTCTTCTGCAGTTGCTGCTGCCGGCATCGGAGCTGCCTTTTCTCCGTGGCCATTCTCTTCTCGGCCCCCACCAGGGCTTGCAAGTACTCCAAGGCCTTGCTCAGGATCACCACTTTGGGGGCCTTGGAGCAGCTGGCCAACGTGGGTACCTGGTCCCTCAGGGCCAAGAACCTAGAACGGAGGTCATTCCGTCGTTTGCGCTCCAGGAAGTTGTGGTTCTTCCTCTTGGTCACGTCCTCGGTGTCAGAACTGACAGGTTTGGGGTGGCAGGACTGGGGAGCCTCACTTTCTACAGGTGGGGGACTCACAATCTCTTCATCCGCCTCCTCTTCCTTTTCCTCTGGGACATAGTTCTCCAGAGCCTCTTCCTGGGGACCTCTCTCTGGAGCCCCTCCTTGGGAACAGCTTTCTGGAGGAAAACGGGCGGCATAGTTGTGCTGTTGCTGATGGATGGAGATGTGGAAGTGTTTCATGCAGGGGTCCAATGGGTCTGCCCGCACCGTGATGGTGACTGGCTTCCGTACGCCCAGGGACTGTCTCTTCTCCACTGTCACAACATCGATTTCTTCACCCTCTGTCCAAGAGAGATCCAGAGAAGAAACACACCCCATGAGAAACACACACACACACACACACACACACACACGCATGCATGCACGCACAAATATACACACACATAGACGCTATGCTGAGGCTGGGGGCGGGGGGGAAGAGGTGACATTTTTCCCCATTTAGATGAAAACAAACTGAAGTGAGGAGAAAGACAACTGATTCATTTGTAATGGGGTAAGGTCAGCGTGAAGGAAAGGAGGGGAAATAAGCAAGAAGGAAAATATTCTCTAATTTCCTTTTGCACAGCAAGGCTTAGATAAGAACAAAAGGCAGACCCAAGCCAACAGCCCCCAGTCTGCACAGGCGCTCCCCTCCCCCACCGAGGGGATGGAGAGAAAGAGCTATCGGCCTGGGACAAAGTTTAGCTATAAAGATCTTCCCCAGTCGGGCTCTTTCATGCTCCATCAGAATTGTAAATGAGGGGTCTGTGGGCCGAGCTGCCCTTTGTTCCTGCCCAGCACAGTCTGCACTTGGGGAATTGTTACTTTTCACAAGTTATAAATCCTATTATTCCCCCACCTCTCTATTCTGCCATCCCTTTCAGCGGAGGATTCAGAGAAGGGAGGGCTACACATAACCCATCCCTCCTCACCCACTGAGGGGAGGGAACCGGTTTCCCTAAGGAGCATTTTGCTCCTGGTTTCAACGGGTTTCTACTCATCCATCATTTATAGGTCGCCTGCCCCACCCCCTTCCCTGGACCAGAAGAGGGTTGGATTTGTGATAGCAGATCGGCAAAAGCTGCGGGAACTTCACAAAGGTACAAGCGACCATTTGCAAGCAACCTGTGCGGGGGGGGGGGGGGGGGGAGGCAGGGAACTGAGCGGCAACAGAATGGCCCAATCCAAGGGCCAAAACACCAAGAGACCTGGAGATGCCTGGACATGCCCCCGTCATTCTCTGGCTCAAAGGTCTCTTAGGCTACCCAACCAGGAGAGTGCAATTAGGGGCAAGTCTACCCGCTTCACGTTTTGCAGCCCCCACCCAGAAGGCCACCTTCATGCATTTCAGCCTGACTACAGGAGAGCTCAGTTCTCTCGGCCTATTTTGCATATCAGGATCCTTGAGCCCCTTTGTCAGGAAGGCTTCCATTGTGTGGACAATCGCATTATTTCTCCATTAATAAAACCTGACCATTCAGCCCTCCTGGCCACAGGGCCTGGGATTGGCTAGCTGAGCTGTGTTTGGAAAGCTGTTTTACCCAGCCCCTAGTCTCTATTGGCTGAGCCTTGCCGTCAGTCACTCTCCCCACCGCCTCCCCCCTTATTGTTTGCAATCTGTTGCATTTTGTTCTGGGCCATGTGGCCTGTGAGTGAACCAGGGGCTTGCAAACAGGTTCAGGTTAAAGGGCAAGGCAGAAAATGATTCAGGAAGCTTTCCCACATCCCAAACCTTTAATATTTCAGTGTTAAACCTCATAGCTGGTAAGGTTCTGCTTAAGGAAGAAATAATGTAAGAAACCATTATTTTTAGAGATGGTCTAACTCTACCCAGACAAGGAAATGCCTTCCACTGGACAATCAAGTCCAACCCTCTTACGTGCAGAGGGAGAAACAGAGATCCAGACCAGCCAAGTCCACATATCACCTTGTAATGTTCTGAATCTCAAACTAAGATCTCCAAACTCCCCAAACAATGCTCTTTCCACTCTACCGCTCCATCAGCTTTTGTAGAGATAGATCTTTATTGGTTTCTTGATCTCAAAACTCCCATTCCAGCCATTGAACAAACACAAGCTCTTGGTGTTGAAAGCAAGCAGGTTAAAAATGACCTTAACATGCAGACCAAAAAAAAAGACTTTTAATTTTGTGTTATCCTTATTTCTTCCCGCAAGTATATGACAACTTCTGTACCCACTCCCCAGTTCCCTCTCAAAAGGTCACGGAAAAGTTATTCTTAAAAGCTACAGGCGAATTTTCTAGACCCTGATTTACCTGATGCTAATCAGTTGGCACCCTTTATAAAAGCACCCTCTCTAGTCTTTCTCATGGGTAGAGGTCTAAGAGGCGAGGCTAAGAACTGGATGCTGAAGTCTGCCCCTAGTGAGGTTTAAATTTGCATCCGGGGATGGGGAGGAGGGCTGGAGCTCCATATCTGTGACCCAAGCACCTAGCTCAGAGCTTGGCACCATGCAGTGGCCAGTGAACATTTGTTGAATGCAAGGAAGCAGCTACAGAGAACCCACAGGTGAAATTAGGAGGGAGTTAGAGGAACAGCTTTCCAGCCCAGGTCAAAGCAACAAAGCAGTGTAGCCCACCACTCTAGGATAAGCTATCATGAAGACCCTCGAAACATCAAGGAAGAAGTGCCTGGGTGCAATGGAGGGCTGGGCTAAAGAAGATGGAGCTCGCTGCTATTGATTTCCTTTTTCTAAGCCTCAGTCTTCCCATCTGTTAATGGGGATCATTAGTTGCTCTGCTGCCAGACTCGTGGGTGATTGTGTGGTGTACAAATGGTAAGGGGTGGGAGGTGCAATGGGAGGGTATTATCGACCTTTTAAAGTAAAGCAGACAGGAGACTAGATTTTTTTTAAAGGGTGAAGGCTTTGGCTTTGCACAAAAGGCTCCTCAGCTTCCTCTCTCCCTGGGGGAGTGTGAGTTTCCCAGGGAAAGTGGCAGCAACAAAAAACTTGAAGCCTGGAGTAACCCTTAATAAAGCCCTTCTAGCCTCCGGAGGACAGAAATCCCCTACAGTCCAATCCTAGTATTGTCCTCCCTAAGCGCTAAGCCTCACCCAGTCTCCCTGGTCCCCTGGGGCTCCAATCATCATCCAAAGGACGCTGGCTCCCACGCCACTTCTTCAAACTGTTTACTAACACACCCACGTGCCAGACAGACACCGCTGAGGGCTACACCGGCAGCTTCAGACAGAGAAAGGGGGAGGTGGCCGAAGGGCTTGCGAAGACCCAATGCCTGACCTCAGACAGCGGCAGAGTTTTGGCCACCCTGGGGGTGCCCCCCCTTAGATGGCGCGGGGCGGTCCTTACCCGAGTCGCTTGGGCTCTCGGACCCCGAGCAGGCCTGGGTCTTGGGCTCGCCCAGCGGACAGGGGGCAGCGGGAGCCGGGTTGCCGGCTTCGAGGCTGGGAGCGCAGTCTGGGGCGGCGGGCGCCTTGGGCGGGTTCCCCCGGGGTGCGCTGGCGGCGAGCCGGTCGCTCACCGCTCTCTCTAGCCGTTCCCGGGCGGAGAAGCCGCTCCACATGCAGTCACGGCGGATGATGGAGGCGTAGTTCCTGCCCCAAGCTTTCGAATGGCCCCGGAATTCCGCATCGTCCCCAGCGCCCCCTCCGGGCCACGGCTCTGGGGGACCAATTCCAGGGGCTGAGTCCCCGGCGCCGGGACCCGAGCCCCAGGGCGGCGACGTGGGGGGCGACGGCACCAGCTCGAATTTCTTCCAGATGTCCTCACTGGGCGCCGTGGAGCGGTAGAAATCTTCCCCGCAGTCATAGTCGTAGAAATAGTGCTGGTACGAGTCGAAGTCCATGTCCGCTCCCTGCGGGAGGGAAGGGTACCGGCTGATTGGGGTGCTGGCCGAGGAGAGAGGCGTCCGCGGGTCTGCCAGCACAGCCGGCTGCCAGGCTCTCGTCCCTCCCCAACCTCCCGGCTGGCAGCCCGCGTCCTTCCCTCGCGTCCCGGGAAGCCCAGCCCCGGGTCGGCGTGCCCAAGGAAGAGGCTCACAGCGCACGGACTGGGCTGCGGGGAGCGAGTTCAAAGCAAACTTTGCCAGCGCCGCCCGGAGCGCAGCTCCCAGGGCCAGGCTGGGCCGGGCGGGGGCGCGCTGTGCCCAGGAGGCAGCCTGCCGCCCGCCCCCCGGCCGCCCGTAGCCTCACCTCGCTCCCGCCGCCCGCCACCTGGAGCGGACCGGCTCCCCGCCGGCTCGGGGCAGCCCGGCAGCCCGCACACAGGCACATGCGCGCCACCGAGCGCGCGGCCCGCACTCAAGAACGCGCCCCCTCCCGCGCGCCCCCGCCCTCGCTCGCGCACTGCGGCCCGGACGATCCCGGGATCGGCGCGGGAGCGCGAGATGCAGGCGCATTGTTTCCGGCTGCCTTATATCTCGTCGCGCGCCCCGGGCTCTGGGACCGGGGGCGGACCCTACGGGACAGGCCCCGCCCCCGACCCGCCCCCGACCCGCAGCCGACAGGTGGGGGCGGTGGAGTCTCCGCCCCACCGGCCCTGGCTGCTCTCTCCCGCTCCACTCTATTCCCCGGACCCCCCAAAATGAATTGCACGCTGGGGACTTCAGGGCAAGCAGCGAGCTGACACGGCTTGGCAGACGACTAATGGAGGCGTGACCCTTCAGCTAGGCCCGGGCGGTCCCCATGGCGCAAACTAAAGCCGCACTCCTTGCCCACTCTGGGCTATGCAGTGGGGTTACTCCCTACCCCGCCCCTCGAGGCAGCTTCGCGGGTTTTTAGTTCAGGTGCGTCTGCCCTGAGGTCCGGGTGGAGGTTGGGGGTGGCGGGGGACGGGACAGGCGCACCTCCACCGCGCCACCTGGTGGCCCTCAGCCCTGAACTGGGGCCAGTGCCGGGTATCCTCTTCATCACGCGTTGGCCGATTTCTTGACCGTGGTCGTCCAAGCACTGACCTCAGAGAAGCAAAGTAGGAAAATTCCGGACTTTGGAGCGTGAAACTTAACCTTTCTGAGCTTCAGCTCCATCTATAAAAAAAAGGGATGGAATAGTTGTGAGAATTTCCTTAAGAAGATAGAGAAGGGAACTAGGCCAAGGAAAGAGGCAAGTAAAACAGACTTAGCCTCTGGTGCACTGGTGGTAAGGAGAAATCCCTCCCCACTCCCGACCCCCCACCCCCACCCCCCGGCCTAGGGTTGTCTCCCTATCCTCACACCACACCCAAAACAGCTCTGTATGTAGTACTAGAGGAAAGAAAATGAGAAATTGGAGTCTGGAAACTTCATTCAAGCCCTTGCTTTGCTATTTGCTAGCTGTGGGGCCAAGTCATTTGAAGCCTTTGTTTGCTTAGCTGTAAAGTGGGACCATTGCTTGCAGTTGCATCTCTGGCCAAGATGATGGACATATAAGCCCTTTCTGTCATCTTCTATGCAGACTACTTTCAGTGGAGGAAGAAAATCTAAACTATATGGTCATTCCATTTAGGCCAAATAATTAAGGATAGCAGCCAATACATCTAGAATGTTCTACGCAACCTTCAAGGTCTGGTCGCTGTACACAGTCAGCAACCAGATTGCCTGCTGTCTCTCTCTGTCCCACTCTTTGTGGTCTAAGAACACGAAAGTACTCACTGTTGGCATCCCAGCAGAGGGAAGTGAGAAGTGCAAGCAGTTCACTGCGGTTAGAGCACACACAAAGTGTGAGTTGACGTATAGGTTGGGAAAGAAGGCAGGGATGATGACACCATCAGTTTTGAGTATGGGATCTAAAATGCATGTGGGACATCGTTGAAGGCAGCATCTAGTTCGTACTAGCTTTGTAACCTCAGGACCTGGAACAGATTCTGGCCGATATTCGTGGACTTACTGAGTGACTCAGCCGGCCAGATTTTATTGACACAGCCTGTGTGCCCTGCTTTGTGCTGAATGAAGGCACAGATCTGAAAGGCTCCAGGTTTGGCTGCAGTCCTTAGGCGGAAAGTTTGGAACTGCCTTTTGGTAACTTGCTGTCTGGTCCACAGATGTCTGAGATGATTGCTGTACCAGTCAGGATTCTTGGTTATAAAAGACAGAAACCAACCCTAGATAAAGCATAAAATAACTATATTGGAAGGATTTGGGATGTAGAACCCACAGAAGGCTTAGAAAATGAGTCTTCTTTCTCTATCTAGATGAATGTCCTTATTCAACAGCCCTCCTCCATGGTTCCTTACAGTAGGTAATAGGAGGTGACCCCACCTCAAGAGCTAGGAGAAAGGGGAGCCTTAGTGGCTTACTGGGCTAAGCATCCGACTCTTGATTTCGGCTCAGGTCACAATCTCACGGTTCTGTACTGACAGCGTGGAACTTGCTTCGGATTCGCTCTCTCTCCCTGCCCCTCTCTGACTCATTCTCTCAAAATAAATGGATAAACTTTTTTTTAAAAAGGTAAAAGTATAATTTATATATTAAAAAAAGAACTAGGATAAAGGAAATTAAGTTGTCTCTGTGAGTTGGGCTGCTCTTTCCCTTTGCCCACTTTGTTTAATGTATGTCTTCCTTATCAGACTGTAAGCTTAATTAGGGCAGGGACAACTGTCAGTCTTGTTGTCCACTGTAAGTCCAGGGCTTAGAACAGAGCCTGGCACATCATGGGTGCTTTGACAATGTGTTGCCTGTTTGACTGGACATAAGTCTCTAATGCTATAAAGTAGAGATGTGTCAACATATCTGATGGAGACAGAATAACTGTCAGGCCTCATCTAGACTGAATAAGGGTAATAAAGTAGCTGAAGAAAGAAGGTTCCAGTTAGGAGGAGTCTGCATAGCCAATGAAGTAGAGAGCGATAGATGTTATCAAAGCAATCACCAGAGTGTCTATCCTAGCGCTGTCTGGACACAAAGATGCCAGTCCAGGAACAAGGGAGATAGGGGCTTCATGCTTTGAAACCGCCCAATTCACTTCCCTCCCCCTCACTTGTTCTTTGGATCACCAAGCAACCTGATGAAAAGCACTCTACTCCTTATGTAGATCCACCCTTAGGGAGATAATGCAGTCATCAGCAAACAAGAAAATCTGGTCTGCTTCAAAGCCCTGCTTCCCCTTATAAATTACTGAACTGTCATCTGATTGGAAATATCAGTCTCATGAACCTGGTTAATGGGTTTCTGTTCCACAAAGATGCTGCTGCTTTTAAGGCTAACAGCTTTGGTTTTTGAGGTGATGTCTGGACCCTGGATGGTGATGAATTCTCCAACAGAACAAATGCCACCCTAGGGACACTCAACTTTTCACTTCCTTTCTTTTTCTTTCTTTTTTTTCCCTAATGTTTATTTATTTTGAGAGAGAAAGAGGGAGAGAGAGAGAGAGAGAGGGGCAGAGAATCCCAAGCAGGCTCTGTGCTGCCAGCACACAGCCCATTGTGGGGCTCAATCCCATGAACCATGAGAGCATGACCTGAGCTGAAACCAGGAGGCAGACACTTAACCGACTGAGGCACCCAGGCACCCCTTCCTTTATTTTTCTTGAAACATCTTATATCAAGATAATACATGCACATAGTTTATAAAAATCAACTAAGTGTATGACAAGATTGAAAAAAAAAAAGCAGTCTTCTGCCCTGCCCACACCATCCCTGATTCTCACCCCCCAAAAGCAACTACTCTTTTAGATTTTTTTTGTCCCTAATATTTAACTCCATATTTTGACCAATATAATCCTATCAAACCAATATTTTCCTAATTTTTTAAAAAGTTTGCTTACTTATTTTGAGAGAGAGAGTGAGTGAGCAGGGGAGGAGCAGAGAGAGAATCCCAACTATGTTCTGCACTGTCAGTACAGAGCCCAATGCATGGCTCAGTCCCTGAAATGTGAGATCATGACCTGAGCCAAAACCAAGAGCCAGACACTTAACTGGACTGAGCCACCCAGGCATCCCTATTTTTCCTGATTTTTAAAGTCCTATTGACATTATACAATAGAAGATGATGTAGCACTTATATTTCCCTTCCCACCTCCACATTCTGAGCTGTCAGCACAGAGCCTGTCACAGGGCTCGAACTCACAGACCATGAGATCATGACCTGAGCCAAAGGCAGAAGTTTAACTGACTGAGCCACCCAGGTGCCTCTAGATTTTTTAAATATTAAATAGTTACAGTATTTTTGACTATATGACAATGGAACACTCTGACTATATTTCCTTTCTTGTACACTTTACTTCAGAGTTAAATTCTTTCATTTTTTATCTTTTGTTTAGATTTCTATTTATATATTATGAATTTAACCCTACACATTCCCATCTGAGCTACAAAGATCACTTTATATGGTCAAACATGTCAGGTAATTAATCTATTAGTTCCATTTTTTTCTTGGAAACATACCTCCTAGAACCTTTTATCTGCCTATTTTAATCTGAATTTATTGGTGTCTAGGCCTACTTCACAATTGTCATTCAGCAACCTCCTTTCACCATCATCCTGGAAATTCCCTTTGCTTCTCTCCTGTGTTGGCTCCCCTGTTTTCTGGAACTCATTGCTTTTTCTTTCTTAATTTACTTCCTCACATTGTTGGAGCCATCCTTCTGCAGCTGCCTGGGAAAGTGTCCTTGGGAAGTAAAAGTTTGAGACCTTGCATTTTTCAAATTGTCTTTATTATACCTTCATCTTTGGTTGACAGTATGGTTGGCTATAGAATACCAGAAGAGAAATAATTTTCCCTCAAAAATTTAAAGGTACTGCTTTCCTGTTCTTACCAACCAATATTGCTATTGAGTTTGATATCATTTGAAGTTTATTTATTTATTTATTTATTTATTTATTTTAAAGTAATTTCTATACCCAACGTGGGGCTCGAACTCATGACCCCAAGATCAAGAGTCTCATGCTCTTCAGACTGAGCCAGCCAGGTGCCCTGAGGTTGATTATCATTTGAGCTACAAACCTTTGTAGGTGACCTGTTTCTCTCTCTGGAAGCTTTTAGGGTGTGCTCTTTGTCTCTGACATTCTGAATTTTTTTCATTGCTATGCCTTGGTATGGGTCTGTTGCAGAATAAAGAGTTGGATTGGCCCTTGTCCCAGTCCCTGGAAGTAGCCTTTAAACCCTTGGAAATTCCCAAGCAATAGGACTTTCTTTGTTACTTATAATAGGCCCTGATAGTTTAGGCTAATGGTTACTCATGATGGCCTTTTAGATAGTTTAAGATATATTAAGATAAGTTGGATAGCCAGATAGTTAAGACAGAGGTTGACCAAACAAGAAAGGCCAACTGATTAGAGGGTTGGGGCTTTGGGTCATGTGATATCAGTGTGACCTCTGGGAAAGGGAAAGGGGGCTGGAGTTTGAGTTCAGTCACATGAACAATGATTCAGTCTGTCCTGCCTACCTAATGAAAGCCCAGGGGAG